CCTATAGGTGCCCCCTGGTGGGCAGTGATGAACTTGCAGGGACTTTAACTTTTCCTCGTGACCCGGGTTGGAACATGAATGGTTGATGGGGATGCCTGAGGCATGATTGGCCCGAACACCCCCTAGCAGCCCCTGAGGACTACAACTCAGGTCCACCTGTCCCCTTCCACCTCCCAGGGGTCCTGGACACTGCAGTACAGAACAGAGGTGGAATTTCCTGGCTTTGCTCCTGTGTGGCTTGATCACATACCCACCTCAGAGTCTCAGTTCTGGTGCTATGAGGTGAGATCAGAACAGCTCCTGGGCAGCCCAGTGAGAGTTATGTCCTGTGGGTTCAATGCCAGGCACACTATACACTGGGCCTGTGCTAATAAAAGGTGGGGGTTAGGAGTGCAGTGATTCCAGGAAAAGGAAGGACAGGGACCCCAAGAATCTGGCCCCAGAGCATGCAGGATGTAGGTAGGCCAGGGTCCCAGGCCCAAGAGTAGTGGAGGTGTTAGACCCCTCCCAAGGCTGGAGGGCAGGTGTGAAGGCTGAGTCCCACCTCAGAGGGAGCCCAGGAGCCACACCAGAGCTGCATCACCTTCCTCCTTCCTGAAGTATCTAGAAATTCCAACCCCAAGAATAGCCAAGATTCCAAGTTAAGGGTGCATCATGGTGCTGGCCCTGTTCATCATTGTTCTTGCTCTCCTTCTAGAAGTCTTCCAGGGTTCAAAACCCACCCTAGTTCTCTTGCCTCTTTGACCCCTATGATTGTCATAGGATATACTGGGGTTCAGGTAGGATGGCATGGGGTAAGGCAAAGAATTGTCCAGAAAGCCATCTGATCCCTGTGCCTATAGTCTTGTACTTGGGCAGATGCTCTTCCGAACGTACTCATCCATGCCCCACTAGCCTAGTTCACATACAGCTCCCACTGGCTGTGACAAATGACAGCAGTCTGAGGGTGTTGGGAGAAGGTAGGGTTTTAGCAGATGTTCCAGCCTCTGCCCCATGCAGTCTAAGACCTAAAAGTTCAGCCCTGAGGGAAGGAGACAGGTGTGGTCTGAAGTCACATTCCCATCCCATTGGGCCAACCTGGGAGATTACACTGAGTCTCAAAAGGAAAGCAGAAAGTCACAGGGTGAGAAAAAGCTCCCACTGAATGTGCTGAGGGAACATGGCTTTCTGCATTCTCAGGAGCAGACAGTAACCATGCAGGACTCACTGTCGTGGGCACTGGTCTCTGCAGGAAACTGGATCTGCCCACCTCTGTCCTCTGCTGTCACAGTACCGCCCCCACCCAGCACTTCTACTTGGCTTTGGGGTATCACACCAAGCTGGGAGTGAGGGAGGGGCTGAGCAAAGAGGCCAGCACTATAGCTTGGAGGGAGAGAGATGCAGGACAAGGCCAGGGCTCCTATCTGGCAGAGAGAACAATGCTACTGAGTCCTGAGGCTGTCTCTTGGTTTCCTCTCTAGACCTCTTTTGGCCAATGTCCTGGCTGGTGTTCTTTCACTCTACTCAGATAAAAAGCCAGGAGTAGGTGAGAAGCTCTTAGATTGCTGGAGTTTCTAGGCAAGTGCCTATAGCTTAGGGACTGAGCTAGAAGACCCAGAGCCTGACAGCTCCAAACTCTGAGAAACCCGAGACATTAGCTTCACATGCTCAGGTTGGAAGCTTATCACGCTGAGCTTTAACCATCATCCCTGGCATTGACACCTTTTTGGGGCCCTCAGATTCTGGTAGTAGTGGGCAGAGACAGCAGGCAGCAATAGTAGGTGGCATTATTTATGTTTGTTTGTTTAATAGTAGAACTATTTTGCAGTAGTGAGAATTGAACTCAGGGCTGCAAGTACATTAGACAAATATTCTATCACTGAGCTACATGCTCAGCTTTTCCTTTTCCCTGTGTGTGTGTGTGTGTGTGTGTGTGTGTGTGTGTGTGTTGTGTGTGTGTCTCCACATATGTGGGTGTCCACAGATACCAGAAGAGGGTGCTAGATTCCCTGGAGTTGGTGTTACAAGTGGTTGTGAGCACCAATCACTGCTCTGGTTTAACTACTAAACCATCTCTCCAGCTCTTTTACATTTTATTTTGATACAGGGTCTCCCTAAGTTCCCCAGGTTGGCCTTGAATTTTCTGTCCTCCTACCTCAGCTGGGATTACAGACCTAGGCCTATTCCACCAGGCTGACTTAGGTGGCACCTTTTAGCGTTACAGCTCTTGTACAGGCCTCAGCCCTTGGTGGTGACAAGTGTTACATCTCTCAAGCCTAGGTTATCGGAGACCCCTGACCCTCAGGCTTAGCAACTCTCTGGAACTCTTCTGGTGACCAGGCCCTGCAGGTTCCTTCCCAGCTCTTCACAGCCCTCTATCCATCAGCCTCAGCTTTTTATCTCTCTTGCTTTCTCTCTACTTGTGCTGTCCTTGTTTCTCTGAAGTTCCTGCCCTGGCCTCTCTCAAGTTCTTCAGAGGCTTCTCATTCCTATTGCTGAGACTGATCTTGGGCACTGCAGTCATCATCCTCTCCCCTTTCTTTGCCTTAGCAGGTCAGTATGGCAAATGATAACCAAAAGTAGGGGATGAAGAGATGACTCATTGGCTGCTCTTGCAGAGGACCCAGGTTTGGTACTCAGCACCCACATAGTAGCCAACAGCCATCCATAACTCCAGTTCCAGGGGATCAGGTGCCCTCTTCTGGCTGCTATGGGTAAGCACACACATGGTGCACTTACATACATGCAGGAAATACTCATACACATAATTTTTTTTTAATTTAAGAACACTTGAAGCTGGGCATGGTGACACACATCTTTAATCCCATCACTTAAGAGGCAAAGGCAGGCAGATTTCTGTGAGTTCAAGGCCAGCCTGCCCTATATAGCAAGTTCCAGGACAGCTGGGGCTAGAGGGAGAGCCCATCTCAATAAGACCCAAAAAAAGAACACTTGAAAGAATGAAAGAAGCTTTTTATTAAGCCAAATCTTGCAACACTGGAACACTATAGTAGGGTGTCTCCTGGCTGCCTCGAAAACTGAGCAGACCAGCTTATTCATGTAGCAAAGAGAGGAGAGCAAAGGAAGAACAGGAGGAGGAGGAGGAGAACAGAGGCAGTGGTACAATAGTACTGGGAGGGGAGGGAGTAGAGGTAATAAGAGCTGTTAAAGCTGGGGCTGGAGAGATGGCTCAGCAGATAAGAACAGTGGTTGTTCTAGCAGAAGACCCAGGTTCGAATCCCAGCACCCACATGGCAGCTAACAACTGTCGGTAACTCCAGTTCCAGGAGATCCAACTACCTCTTCTGACCTCTTCTGGCATTGCACGACATGGGTGCACTCACCTACATGCAGACAATACACACATACACATAAAATGAAAATAATAAATAAAATATTTTTTAATTTTAAAAAGAGCTGTCAAAGCTTTCTCCCAACTGATTTCTTTTTTAATTTTATTATTTTTATTTTATATGTATGAGTGTATCACCTGCATGTATATAAGTGCACCCATATCATGCAAAGTCCAGAGTTCAGAAGAGGACGTCAAATGCCCTGGAACTGGAGTTACAAATGGTTGTTAGCCATCATGTGGGTGCTGGGAACCAAACCCAAGTCCTCTGCAAGAGCAGCTGGTGCTCTTAACCACTGAGCCATCTCTCCAGCCCTCCAAATGATTTCTAATCTCTCTGTAGGAGCAACTTGGGAAAGGGGAGAAGAAAGTGGGCCACAATACAGAGAAGAATGCATCCTTTGTAGCCACTGCCTGCCCATGTGTGGGGACTCAGACCCCTTTGCAGCCTTCTCTCAAGCTCACAGGTGACAGGAGCATGTGCTTTAGAAAGTATGTTTTCCATGCAGCAGTCCTGTGGGTGGGACAGGGGAAGAGGCTGGCCAGGGATTCTCCTGACTTTTATGCTCCCAGCTTTTGGGGATCTTGTGAGACGCACATCTGCTGTAACTGTCCAGAGAGCTCCCAAGGCTTCCTGAATGGACAGGTCCCTTGATTAAGTCCTAGGTGGCCTTAGAGGCCCTGTTGAGGGGCAAACCAGGTGTTTGCCATCTTGCCATCCCATCTGACCACTGGTGGTGCTATAGATCTTGAGGGTCTGACAGCCTCGCCTGGGATCAGTTCAGCACTGGAGCATCCCAGAGCCCCAGAACCACCCTGCACCCATGGGGAGGTGGAGATCAGGAACGAATGCCTGGTGTTCTTGTCCTCAGTGGTTAATGCTGAGGCCCCGACAACATCGTACCTCAGCTGTACACAATAATAACCTACTTATTCTGCAAATTTTTTCCCTGCCTCAGTTTCCCCACTTCCTTACTCGTGTGTCCTGGAGTCACCTCCCAAGTAAATTACATACCACAGCCAAGTCCTGGCCCTAGTTTAGCCTTTGGAGGGACTTTTCTTTTTTTTTTTAAAGACATGTTCTTGCTGTGTCATCTAGACCGACCTCAAACTCACAATCCTCCTGCCTCAGCCTCCCAAGTGCTGGAATTACAAATTGGTGCCACCATACACAGCCATAAATAATTTTTTTTAATTATATTTATTATTTTTAATTTTTTTACTTTTTATGTGTATGAGAGTATTTCCTGCATGCAGGTAGGTGCCCCCCCATGTAATGCAATGTCTGTGGGGGTCAGAAGAAGGTGTCAGATCCCCTGGAATTGGAATTACAGAGAGGGTTGTTAGCTGTCATGTAGGTTCTGGGAATTGAACCCAGGTCCTCTGCAAGAGCAGCCAGTGTTCTTAACTGCTGAGCCATCTCTCCTATCCCCAATGTTTTTTGATTGAGCTAAACAGAGAGGATGTTACTGCTTGCAACCAACCTTTGGTTAATACAGATGGGCAAGGATTAGGTGGTCAGACACAAGTCTTAGGCTGAGTGGAAACAAGGTAACTGAACAGGAGGCCATCTGTGTTCAAGGAAAGCTATGAAAAGATCAGTTCCAACATGTTTATTAGCAAACAAGATACAAAAGGAATAGAGCCTATATAAATGAGCTGGCCACCTTTACAGGTCAGGTGGGCTCAGGCAGGCCTCAGCAGTCAGGGAGCCTAGAGCAAAGAGTAGCAGCAGTAGCAGCAGTGGGACTGGATCAGGCCTGGACACACCATTGCGCATCATGGTCAACCGAATCCAGCTGTAGTGCTGACTGATGTTGGTGTAGATACCAGGCCGGTTGGGCCGACCGCAGCCCACTCCCCAGCTCACAACTCCAATCTGATACCACACTGTATCCTGATCGCAGACTAAGGGTCCTCCTGAATCACCCTGGGGAGCAGCATGGGTAGGCCTGGCCAGAGGAGGGATGGGTGGGGTTGCGGGAGAGGCCAGGGAAACGGGGGGGTACTATGGAGCTGGCAGACTAGGTAAGGCTCTTACTCCTCCCCTGGCAGCAGTCAAGTCTCAGCTTCTTCATCTACAAAGTAGGGCCACAGTCTCTATTTTCAAATAAGAGACCATATGACACCTCATTTAGGTGGAACTTGGGACTAGGAGTGGTGGGATACTGGGCCCAGAAGACCATGGTGGGGTAACACTTACAAAGCAGGCATCCTTGCCACCTTCAGGATTGCCGGCACAAACCATGTCTCCCCAGATGTTTCGGTGGAAATCTGGCTTTTGGAATAGGTGGTTACACATAGTGTTGTTTATGATGGCCACTTGTACTTCCTGGAGAGTTTCAGGAGATGGCAGACCTGTTGGAGGAATGGGAGACAGAGAAACAGGTCACTTCATCCTCCTCTTCTGGGAGGAACGGCATAGACTATGGGATGGGAGTGTTGTGGGGCACTCACTGTGCCTCTCAATAGTCACCAGCTGCAGCCCCCAATAATAATACCATGGGTGATCAACAATATCACAAAAGACCCCATTGGATGGACAGGATGTTAATGTGCTCCCAAGACTCAATTTCCCTGACTTTAGAATATACATGAAGCCCCTGCCTGAGCTGGTAGCCAAAATATGCACAAGGAAAGGAGCTATGGTAGCCGAGAACTGGGGTGGATGCAGCAGGCCAAGTTCTGCTATAGCATCCAGGTGCTGGACCAGGGGCAGCATTCCAGTGATGTCCTTCCTCCTGGGCTTTTCTAGCACCTGAGCCAAGAGCCCTGTGACACACCAGGATACAGCAGCATCAGGATCCACATCCTGATGGGAAACAGGTACGGGGGAAGAAGCCCATTCTCAAAAATGCACTAAGGAAGTATCAGAGCCTGATGTGATTCCACATCTGTTGGATTCCCACGTCTAGATTCCAAGCATTGCCTGACTTCACAGAGGACGACAAGAGCTAAAATGTACATGACAATTTCTGTGGGCTGAGAGCACTCAGAATTCTAAGATCTTATACCTCAGAACTACCCTAGGAAGTCAGAGGCTTCATTATTCTATTTGACAGATGAGGAAACCGAGGCACAGTCTGATGAAGTGCCTCGTTCAAAGTGGCTCAGCTAGCACATGACAAAGAGAAAGCCTGCTACCTGCATCCCATACACTGAGAATGAAGGTGAAGCCAGGGCTCAAGACAACTGTACAATCCATCAGTTCTGGGCAAGGAAAGAATTGGCAGAGTAGGCCTGGCTCGGTCTGCAGCTCACAACCACCCTTCTAGGAGAAGGAAAGGACTCCTAGGAAACAGACTAAGCACCGAGGTCTCTATCCCCACTGCCAATTCCAGCTGTATAGTCTTGGGGACATCCTTTACACTGTCTGAGCCACTGAACCCTAACCTTACCTCCTTTTACTAGTCTGTGGCCTTGGGCACCATCTATAATTCTCTCAATTTCCTCAGCTACAAAGTAGGTATAAAAACATGCCATTGTGCCGGCAAGATGCCTCACTGGGGAAAGGTCCTTGCCATCAAGCCTTATTTTGATCCCCAGGATCCACATGGTTAAAAAAGAACTGTCTCTTAAAAATTGTCCTGGCCTTCACACATGTGCCATGCACAGGCCCACACACATGCAAAATAAATAAATGTAAAAATTTAAATCCCTTAATGAGGGGCTGGAGAGCACTTACTACTCAATCACGAGGATCAGAGTTAGTATCCCAGCACTAGAGAGTGGCTCACAGAAGCCTGAAACTACAGCTCTGAGGGATCCCAAACCTTCTTCTGGCCCTCGTGGGCATCTGTACACACATGCATATACTCTCACACAGACATACCCATTGCACACATACATTTTTTTTTAAAAAAAATCTTAAAAACAAACAAACAACAACAGCAAAAACCCTAGGCTGGAGAGTTGGCTCAGCAGTTAAGAGCACTGGCTGCTCTTGCAGAGGACCTGGATTCGATTCCCAGCACCCACACAGTGCTAATAACCATCCATAACTCCAGTTTCAGGGGATTTGACACCCTCTTCTGACCTCCCCAGGCATTGCATGACATGGGTACACTTACATACATGCAGGCAATACATTCATACACACAAAATAAATAAATGAATGAATGAGGAAGGAAGGAAGGAAAAAAGGGAGGAAGGAAATATTTTTTAAAAAATATCTCTAGATAAGGTTTATTCGAGACCAACTGGTCATTACCCAAGATTTATCTGCAAGACACACAGTAATTAAAAATGCCAGAATGGTGGAACTAACCTTCTTGGATGTTTAACAGACATACCTTGAGATCTATACTAATTGGGTCAGAGGGATTCAAAGGACAATTTTTGCTCCTTGCCCTCCTGGGTCAATTAGTTCCCAGGGACTATGAGCATATCACAAAATGTCCTGTAATGGTGGTGGGTAATCTGACCTCTTGATCAAGGAGGCCAAGGAGACCCCACCAGATGGACTTGAACCAGTGTCCAGTCTATAAAGAGGAGGGTCAACACGGAGGAATCATTTCCTCCATGCTTCCAAG